GATGAAAGATAAAATGGAAGAGCTCAGGATTGTTTGCAGCTATTACTGAGTTTTCATTTTATTCAATGTCGGATGCAATAGGTGACTTTTAGATGAAGGATTGCTTTTGAGATTTGAGATGTACTAATTCCTCATTGTGAACTGTTTTTCACTGTGCCTGTAGAAGTGCAATGCTGTAGCTCAACACATATTTTAATATGACAATTTCATTGAGGCAGTCTTGGCTATTTCTGGCTGCTTGTTGCTGGGCTGTTGCCTCTCTTTCATTAGCACAGCTGTTCATATAGCCATGAACTGTATTGAGGAAGTGATCTGGGAAAACTAACCAGCCAAAAAAAAAAGAGGTGGCTAGTTTTCATCCAGATCAGTTCCCTACTGTGGTTCACTGAGCAGCTGCACAGAATGCTCGTGGTGGCCCAAATGGGGTGGGCAATGCAGCAGCGTGGATAGGCAGTGAGAGTTGGCAGGAGGGTGAGGTTCGGCTGTGCCGGTGATGATTGAACTACAACACGGTGTTTTGACTTTTCAGTGTATTACTTATTCTAACCTGATAAGTGAAAAAGATACAAAGTATATAGGAGGTGACACTTAACAAGAGGTTTGAAAATTCCTTTGAAATATTGCTTATTCTTTGTCCTAGAACAGCCTCAAGCCCTCAGTGAAGAATTTGAGCCTTTGAATTGTCTTTTGAATTTGCCTTCAGAGCTCATGGTCTCCTGGCTAAAGCTAATCATCTTTGGTCAGGAGAGGTTAATTAGCTCTGAATGCTGCCTCGGTAGATCTACGCTCTGAAAGAATTTGAATTATGATGTCAAGGACAATGTAGTAGGCAAAGTTTCTTTTCAGGATCCAAGCTCCTCCCTCCTCATGACTTCATACTAAGGAACATGGACAATAAATTTGTCTGTGTAATTGGAACTTTTTTCCCTGCCCATCAGCTTGGCTAAAAGGACAAGCAATGGGACAGAAGAAGGGAGGAGAATAATGAAGGCTAAGTTGGAGATTTAAGTGTACATTCATTACATGCTGCATGTCAAGATTTGAAGAGTGTTATGATCTTGCAACCCTAAATTTAACATTAGTCTTCCAACTGGATTGTAAGGAGTGAGACTTTAGACTTCAGGAAAAAAAATCAAGACTTTGAAGGGTGCAAAGAAGTTACAAACCATGGAGACGAGGACTCAGCTCTGGTCTCCAGTACGTGGGCATAGGTTATGACGGTCTAGAGTTTTTTGTTTTTTTTTTTTTTCCCCCAAACCTCATTCAGTATGGTAAAAGAGGAGAAACTTGTTTGACGCTGCTTGAGGATTACTTCATTGTAATGGACTCCTTAAACCAGTCACACAATTAGTTTGCAATCCTAATAGCATCTGGAGAAAATTGACCCTCTTTGTTACATTCTGTGGGCTATTCTTCTTAGCTTATAATTTAAAAAGAAAAAAAATAGCAGAGGACTGAGGATGATAGATGTTTGACTTGCATGAATGCTACTAAAGTTAATTAAATAAGAGATTGCATAAAACCAGTGAACCACTTTGTTAGGCAGTCCAATGTATGTTCAAAACAATTTCTTAAGGTTTATTCTGGTCAAGAAGTTGCTCTTAAAGGCTAGCAAGAGCACATAGCTTTAAGATTAGACTTGAAATAACGTATAAGGTGTATGCCTTTTTTAACTGAAGCTTAATCTTTTTGTTGACATTCTTAATATGCGTTTCTGACCAAATTAAGACCATGTAGTGCTGCAATTAAGCCTTTTTAGAAAATTTTATCTTGCGTATATGTACTAGTATGTCGGTTTCCTGTGATGTATCTGAGCATCCCGTCTCAAGCTCTGTTGTCATAGCCTAGTTTAAAAATAGACTTTGCAGGAGTGAGTTTGAAGCTTATACTCAAGTGGAGATTGAAGCTTATACCCAAGTGGTTATAGGAGTGTGTCACATCAATAGGAATTTAATATCCCTCTTACATGAGTGTTCCTTTTTGTGAAGATGGGCCAAACTAGGATTTTATGACAGTTTCAAAGTGTCATGTTATGCTTCTGAACCAGATGAGGGCCTTTCAGCTCTCCTTGAAAATATTTTTGGACAAACTGCAAGCAGGTGAGTTGTCTTTTGGTTTTGAAAGCATTTAAAATTGTCTTTTTGTCAATGAGAAAGAGTTTCTTCTGAAGTGGATCCAGACGTACGAGTTAACAAGGTTTTGGGGAAAATATGCCTTAAAGTATTATAGAAGGATATGTTAAACCAGTTTTGAGGAATATAAGTGGTTTGTGGTGATCCTAAAAAGCATAGGGAGCCATTTGTCAACATCCCTATGTTAGATGGGAGAAATGCTTGTAGGCTGAGGGATTAATTGGGATAATGGACTTTGTAGTATAATACTGAAGGATTTGGTGAAAATTGTATGTATGTGAAGTGGCAGCTTGCCAGATGCTTAGTTCACTATAGTCTGTTTTTAAACCTGTGTACTCTTAAAATACTGCTTAGCTTTGGTTCTTATTTTAAGAGTGACAGGGCAGACCAACAAGATTTTGTTAACTGTCTTGTTAAAGAGTTAAATTTAACAATAAGCTAGTATGGATCAGTATTTGCTCGAGGTAAAGGGACTCTTGTGCTGTGAAACTAAGGATTTTCACAGAATCACAGAATGGCCAAGGTTGGAAGGGACCTCTGGAGCTGAAGCAGGGTCCTCTAGAGCATATTTCCCAGGATCGTGTCCAGGCGGGTTTTGAATATCTCCAGGGAAGGAGACTCCACTACCTCTCTGGGCAACCTGTGCCAGTGCTCTGTCACCCCCTCAGGAAAGTTTCTGCTCATATTCAGACAGACCTGCCTGAGTTTCAGTTTGTACCCATTGCCTCTTGTCCTGTCGCTGGGCACCACGGAGAAGAGTCTGGCCCCATCTTCTTGACACCCTCCCTTTAGATACTTGCACACATTGATGAGATCGCCTTTCAGTCTTCTCTTCCTCCAGGCTAACCAGGCCCAGCTCCCTCAGCCTTTCCTCATAGGAAAGGTGCTCCAGTCCCCTCATCGTCTTTGTAGGCCTTTGCTGGACTCCCTCCAGTAGTGCCATGGCTCTCTTGGACTGGGGAGCCCAGGACACTACTCCAGGTGAGGCCTCCCCAGGGCTGAGGAGAGGGGCAGGATCACCTCCCTCGACCTGCTGGCAACACTCTGCCTAATGCACCCCAGGAGACCATTGGCCGCCTTGGCCCCAAGGGCACACTGCTGGCTCATGCTCAACTTGTTGTCCACCAGGACTCCCAGGTCCTTCTCTGCAGAGCTGCTTCCCAGCAGGTCAACGCCCAGCCTGTCCTGGTGCCCGGGGTTATTCCTGCCCAGGTGCAGGATCCTGCCCTTGCCTTTGTTGAACTTCCTGAGGTTCCTCTCTGCCCGGGGGACACTGCTAGCTACAGGCCTCCCACTAGACTTTCCGCCACTGACCACAACCCTCTGAGCTCTGCCATGCAGCTAGTTCTCAATCCGCCTCACTGTCCACTCATCCAGCCCGCGCTTCCTGAGTTTACCTATGAGGATGTGATGGGAGAGAGTGTCCAAAGCCTTGCTGAAGTCCAGGTAGACAGCATGTGTTCCTCTGCTCTCATCTACCCAGCCAGTCATTCCATCAGAGAAGGCTATCATGTTGGGTAAGCATGATTTTGCCCTTTGGTGAATCCATGCTGACTCCTCCTGATCACCTTCTTGTCCTCCACGTGCTTAGTGGAACAGCTCCTCCTGGAGGTCCTCATCACCTTTGCAGGGGTGGAGGTGAGGCTGACAGGCCTGTAGTTCCCTGGCTCCTCCTCCTTGCCCTTTTGGAAGACTGGGGTGACATTGGCTTTCTTCCAGTCCTCCGGCACCTCTCCTGATCTCCAGGACCTTTCCAAGATGATGGAGAGTGGCCTAGCGATAACATCCGCCAGCTCCCTCAGCACTCGTGGGTGCATCCCATCGGGGCCCATGGATTTGTGGATGTCAGGTTTGCCCAAACAATCTCTAACTCGGTCCTCCTCGAGCAAGGGAGAGTCTTCCTTTCTCCAAACTTTCTCTCTTGTCTCCAGGGTCTGGGATTTTAGTCACAGTTATGTAAGTTTTTTTGGAAATGGAGAGAGAGGCAAGAAAATCTGACAACTTCTGTTCAAGATACAGGTATTGTAGCAGTCTAACGTAGAATTGGAGTTGAATGAAGTCACTTGAAGAAATAATTTTAACAACATATTCTAATATACTCAAATAACAGAGCACTTTAAGGCCAGAATTTTAAAAATGAAGTACCATTTCACTGTATTGAATCTGAAAGGAAAAGGTTCAGTTATCCAAACTGAAGACAGCTGACAGACTAAGAGAAACTTCCTACTATTTTGCGGGGAGAGGAGCTTCAGCAGAAATCTCAGTTTCACTATACTATTATTTTTCTCTGTACCTCTGGATATATCTTGTGTGCACATGCACATTTATTTAAGGATATAGCAGCAGTGGGAAACTTGGCTTAGTCAGTTACATATAGGTCTAGATTAGATGATGATTTATTCTGAAATTTTTGTCCAGTAATGTTCATTAAAAATATTTTAAGTTTCATAATCTTTCAGATAGGCTACTGCTGCATACCTGGGTGTTCTTGTTGTGGCTGGATGCTAAAAGCATCATTTCATTACTGGAAACTGCCTGAGCAGAGGGATGGTTTAGACATATGTATGGAATAAAAATTATGTGCAGCAAATTAATAAAAATAACTTCTCTTGTATCAGTGTTGCCTAACCTGAATTTATAGGTGCTAGTTGCTGCTTGTCCAGTCAGTTTATTCTGACTTTGAATGCTTATTTTTCACACTAGCTTTCTGCCAAAAAAGGATGTATGTGGTGATGTAATTTTTTTTTTTTTTAAGATACTGATGCTTTGGAAACTGTTAAAATGCTTTAATATAAAAAAAACAAACTGAAAAGGGTCAATTTTGGTCTAAAAGTTCTTTAAACTATGCAGGTTTTTTCTTATTTCTAGCGTCGACTTCGTCATCTGCGGAATATTGCTGCACGTAATATCATCAATAAGAATGGTTATCGCCTTTTGGATACTTACTTCACTCTTCACTTGTGTGATAACGCCAAAATATACAAAGGTAAAATAGGCTTGCTATCAACTTTTTCCCCAGTTGCATCATAATAATTCAAAAACCTAATTGTCTGTCCTTCACTGCCCTACTATTCTGCTGCCACTATTTGCATAAGCTATTCTAACAGCGGAAAGGAGCTCTTCAGTTTCCTGAAGCTTCTGAAGTCCTTCAGTAGTAGGAGACATTGTATTTGGTTGTTATATCTCACTTCTCTCTTCTGCCTTGCTTTCTACTGCAATCTATACTTTATTGTGGAGAGACGTTATTTAAAATAAGTTTTTATGCTCTTTTTAAGATTACTACCTGTTACAGCTTTGTGAATGAATTTTGTTGCTTCTAAATTTTATTTTCGGCTAGCGTAATTGAAACTTGCTTGTTTAAGGTCATTATTTTCAAAGGGTAAGAATATATAACTTGAGCTCACTACCTGCACTTTCTTGTGGGGGTTGGTTGAGCCTGGAATTTACTACCTCTGCAGTGTTTGGTGCAAGGGGATCTTCTGTGTTCTGGAAAAATTGGTCTCTCTTCAAACAAATCCTGCTTGTGTGTTGTCCCATGGTAAACAGACCTACCCAGGTAGGTGCGTTAAATACCTCCCCAAGTGGTGGGAGTAAACTAAGGCTCCTATGCCTGTTGAGTTAGATGAAGCTGAGCTGCGTTACAGAGGTCATCGTACCGTATCAATATCATATGTGCTCTGCCAGAATGTAGTGCACTTCCTCATTATCTTTACCTTGCATTCTTATTCTGTTTTTCTGAATGCATTTAAAGCTCTGTCAAAGCTTTTCCCCTGGTATTTGGCACTTAACACAGATTTTGGAGAAAACGTGTGTTCCAGGCTCTAATACTGCCTACCTAAAGACTTCAAAATCTTATTTTGGCTGGAAAAGCTAAGGTCCGCGTGTCAGTTGTTACTTATTTCCATTTAAATACAGGCTTCTTGGTAACTCTGAGGTCATTCAGTTGTTCGCTTTCTAAGCCTCTGAAACAGGTTACCCTTGCTCTTCAGGAAAGTAGTGCAATTAGTCTGTCCATCATGCCGTACTTTTCCAGGAAGCTGTCGTGGGACAAACTAGTCACTTTGCAAATGTCAGTCAAATATTGTAAAGTAATGAGACACATTCTTTTTCTCAGCAATCAAACTCTCAGTAATTCATGAGGACAGTGTTGGGTGTAAAAATGAAATGCTCAATTTAAGTAATGACTTCTAATAATTAAATATCAATGAGTATTTCTGGTCAAAAAGATAACAGCATTTTCAAGTCTTTTTTGAATTTAGTTCCTGACAGAATAGTTCCACTGCCTTTCATCTTTCGTGAATGTTATTATTTTAGCTTTCTGTATTTCTAATGTTAAGATTAGTGTCAGTGTTCATGCTAATCTAAAGGTTTTGTACTCATTTTTCTTTAGAATTTTATAAGAGTGAAGTGATCAAGAATTCTCTGGTAAGTTATTTGAATACACACTTTTAAAAAACAGTATTTCCAATTTGTTTCAATATGTTGATTTCGCAGTTGAATGCTATATCTATTACATGTGTATTTCCACTCTTCAGTTTTTGTTAGGAAAATGAGCATCGTGCTCCCTTCCTTTTGAGGGCCCTTTCGTGAGGGTTGAAATAACTGATTGAATTACTGAATAGCAGAAATGCATGTTTGTTTTGATTGCTGTGGAGCAATGGTCTGTTGGTACCACTGCTGATGGGACTCAACACTCCAAGGGCATGGCATTTTCCTGTGTGGAAAACCATTCAGCGCTCAGGTTAAGCTTTACGATATGTATCCCTTTTAAGCACTGAGAACAGTAAATTGGCAACGTAACTTTAGCAGGATTTTTTTACTAGTCTCATTTAAAACTTTTAGTATCAGAATTATATGCATCATAACTAAGGTTTATTTACAGGTTCACCTTTTTTGCTCGTGTTGGCAAGAGAGGCAGCAACTTCTTAAAGCGTGTACTTTTTAAAGTTGTTTCTTCAAGGAGCACTTGCATGTCATTTTGCTGGGAGTACAGATTCATTAGAAATGTGCGCAGAGCAGTTTTGCAACCTTGGTGTAGAAGCAGAGGCACCAGGTGCAACGCCCCAAAGAAAGGGAGAGCTGAACAGTGTTGCAGTATTCTTTGAACATCATCTTTTTAGGTGAATGCTAAGGAATATTTACCCACGTATGCAAACATGCATGTTCTTTGAGGACATAATAGTTTTAAGAAGTTTCAATGACTAGAGTTTCTTGAAGTTTCTAAACTGTCCAGTTCAGATCGGTGAAAGGACCAGACCAGAAAAAATGGTTTATTACAACTGAGAAGGGGTAGGTTCTTTTGTTGTGGTAGTAGGATGTTGTAGGTGTTGGGCAAGGGAGTCTGAAAACCTGCTAAACAGACTTTTTAGTCAGATGTCAGCGAAACAGAACTGCACCATTTATAGTATGTGTTTTTGGGGGGGTACCAGCAGGTTTTGAAAACTTCCTGAATGGAGGAAAACACTCTACATCTGCAAGGCTGTTAACTTGTGCAAACTTACATTGCTTGAGACTTCAGGATTTTGAGTTCTGTTTACTGTCAAGCAGAAAAATTATTAACAGAGAGGATATCCAACCAAAGGAGATGTGAGATGGAATGACAAAATCTGTATTTAAAAATGTTGCAGTCTTGTACAAATTCCGTTTTAATGTCCTGGTATTCTTGTGTCTAAGTAGCTACCAAGTATCTTTTCTCCTTATGAAAATTTAAGTGCCTGGCGAGCAATTCCTTTTGTAATACTTAATGGATAACTTTCCCCTCTCCCTTCTTTTTAGAGGCATATTATTCTGACTTACCTAATACCTTAAAATTGCCTAATACTTACCTAATACCAGTGCAGAGGTGCTTGGCCTGTTCCAAGCTGCTTAAGCAATAGAATGAAAGGCTTATTCTTTCATGGTGGTCCGACTGTGGAATTGTGTGTTCCTACAGTTCCCTTTCATTTTGGAGGAGTTACTGTTTCTATGCCCGTATAGAGAAAGGGAGGGTGGGATGGATTAGTGTTTTTCCATTATCTGCATGTGGATACCCTGTGGTTTACGACCTGTGGAAATCCAGAAATTAGTGTCAGGCTCTTGCCGCTGGTAAAGTCAATTCAAATTGACTTGGTTGGTTTGCAGCTTGGGCCACTTGCTGCAGTTTCCTTCAAGTCTTGGTTGTAATATGTTATCAGAGGTAAGTCAAAGTTCTTGGAATGTTTGGTGCATTGCAAATCTGAGTTCTGCTAGAATACAATTTTCATAGTTTAACTTAATATATGCTGCTGCTATAAAGCTGAGATAAGTCTGATTTCTTACACTGAAGAGGAGATTTTAGGAACAGCATTTGAGGATTGTCATCAGCATCAGTAAAGGAAGAGAAGAGTGTGAACTTAGTATTAGGGAGCAGATCTGAGTTTCTAAATTAACTTTTATTATGTAAACTATACACCAAAGTATAATGTGAAAGGAAATGTTGCTTCCAGTGTCTTAATTTAAAACTTCCTGGTTTGGCTAAACTCACTTAGTGAAGTAATTCTTGTAATGGAAGGAAGCAGAACTCTCTCTGAGTTTCAGAAGTACTTTACAGCATGTAATGTGCAACCCAGGAGTTGTCCTTAGAAAAGAGAATAGTGAAGTCACAGAGCCTGTTGGCTTCAACTCTGTGTAAACCCTGACAAGGCTCATGTTCATCATACTTAAATTTTTTGATCTTTGTTTGATGCAAGCCTTCCTACTTTCTGTAACCTACTACATATTAAGACTCCTTTCAGCTTGTTTGAGTTGTCTTTATCCCTCTTTGAATACCAACAGAATCCGACATGGAGGAGCTTGGACTTCGGAATAATGCCTGATCGTCTTGATACGTCTGTCTCGTGTTTTGTTGTGAGGATCTGGGGTGGCAAGAAGGAGCACTATCAGCTTTTGATAGAATGGAAAGTTAATCTAGATGGATTAAAATACTTGGGCCAGCAGGTAATGTGCAAACAGACTTTCTCAGCTTTTGGACTGAGGAAACTAGAAATATGACTGAACAGAAATATGGGATGCTAAGAGAGGAAATGAGCACATCTCAAGTCAGTATTTTAACATTTGCAGAGATTCATGCACAGAGCTTTAAATCTTGACTCTCTGGATATTTGAAGTGGGCGTTATTGACTAAGCCTCTCAAATAGTAGTTATCCCTCTGTGCTTTAAATTGCAGTGCCTTGATTTAAGGAAATAGTAGTATGATTGTGACTATAGGTGGATGAATTAAATCATAATGTTCATGTATAATATAGTTCTAATTACTTCTCATAGTAATGACTCCCCATCAAAAATCTTCAGTCTAAGAAGTTTGCTGTGCAAGATCCAGAAGTTTGTTTTAATTCTGTTTTTACGTCTTACTAGTAGCTTTGAAATAAGTGACAAGTGAAGAGTTTGCTGTATTGTGGAGCTTATAGTAAAAGTTGATGCAGAAGAAACCTGTATCACAAATACTAAAAATGCCAAAAAGTACTGTACCTTTTGAATTAACAGGCTGCTATAGTTCCGGTGGGCAGTCTTGGATTGCTGAATTGATACAATCTGTTTAGACTAGACCACATTCTGTTTCTTATTTTAAAATACATTTAGTGGTTTTAAATTGGGATATCCCCAAAAAAAAGTTGGAAAAGAATAAAAGCTCTATAAGGCATGACTGCTGTAGCTTCACAAAATGTAGCGTTTTAATATTCTGTTTGTTTTTATGGAATGGAAGAAGTGATTTTCTTTTAAAAAAAATCTCTGCAGCAAACTTAGTTGAAATAATTTTTTTTTTACTTTAATAACAGTATATTAGCTGTAATACTAAAAACTAGTTTTGTTATAACCACAAAAGCCTGCAGTTGAGCATCATTTTAGGGAAGGTCTTGTAAAAACTAATTTCTCAGAGGCTGATCTCTGATTAGTTTCCTGCTCTCTTAGTTGTGTTTGACAGCTAGAAATAAAACAATAGGAAAGGTGGTCTGGCCAGTATATTGTTTTTCATTTGATATTTGTTTTTTTCAAAGTAAAATGGCTGAGCATATTCAGTAACTGTTTTTAAAGCTGTGAAGCAAATGCATTTTCTATGTTTAAATTCAGTTTTCTCAAGTTTCATGTACTTTAGAATTATAGAAACTGAAGAGCTGCATTTGACTATCCAATAGAGCAACTTATGCTTAAATGCAGTGTACAGTCGTCATAAAGTGGCCTGAAAAATGGTTTATTTTCTGCTCTTCTTGCAGATACATGCAAGAAACCCAAATGAGATTATTTTTGGTCTCAATGATGGCTATTACGGAGCTTCATTTGAACAGAAGGTAAGGATATTTCATATTTGTCCTAGCTTGTTAGTACTGACAAGCTGAAATTCAACTTCTGAATACAAATTTTCACACTTGGGTGCTTAGAACATGTAAATGCTTAATTTTGAGAAGTAGTATTATCTATCGTGTCAAAAAAGTATTCATCCCATCCCTGCTGGATGGACATCTGAGCTATTCATGGAGGATTTAAAGTACAATGTTTTAAAGCCAAAAAGAATCGGATTACGGAAAATAATCCTTACATGATTGTTCTCTGAGGCAGGCCCTTCATTCAAACTTAAAACATCTTGAAAATTATGTGGCTATTGATATTCACTTTCATGGCAAATATAAAAGCATGTTAAGTGGTCGTTATCAATCTTAAAACAGAATGTATGGTTTCTAAGTGATAAGTCATTTACTTGCTCTGTGTTTTAACTGTTTCACCCCATGTATTTTCTAAGGGCTCCACTGTAACGTTTGTTTATCTAATCAGTACTGTGACTGCAACTAAATTAACTATATAGCAATGCTCATTAAACTTTTTTAACATCTATGTAGTAAACTTATTAACAGTAAATGGCACAGCTGACAATCTTTGTCCCAAATTGCTGTAGGTACTACAGTGCTATAGACAGGTTGTGTAAGGAGCACCTGGCTGGAGAGAAAATGACCCCTGACAACTAGCTACTTCCTGTTCAGTAGCCGCAGCCAGCACAAGTCCAGTCTCACAGGGATTTGAATTGAGGCAGTGACTTTATAATCTACAGTGTGGGTAACTATATGTATATGGGAAGCAGCCCAGCAAGTGACAAGGTGACAGTGTATGCAAAGCTGGTGTGTATACAGTCTCATAGAACAGCAAGTTAATATATGAACATAGCTCCACACATGACAGCGGAAACATATCTCCTGGGTTCTTTAGTGGCTTTAAGAGCTACATCTCCTTGCCAGACTCTTCTGGCTACATGTAGACCTCCAAACTGTGTTCAATATTTAGGTGGTTATACTCCCAGTTCTAAGGGGTTTGGTACACAACACACTCTACTTCCTGGTGCTGTTAATTCAGTTCTGCTGAAGGAGGATACTGTTCCAGGTTTTCATGATTTCAGAAGAAATAGTTTGGGCCAGAATTCAAAGATGGTAATGCTATTCCTTTTCCTGATCCTTTGTGTTGTCAGGAATTGCTCTCTAACTGTCGTGGTTTAAAAGTACATCTTGGTTTTGATTGTTATATATGCTCTGTAGAAAAGTTGCAAATACAGTCCCAGCCTATGCAGAGCGCAAATCTCCTTTACCCTTCCCTATAACTTCTGCATTTTATTAGTGGGGAAACTAAAGGTTTATGGCTCTAAAATGTCTCTGTCATTAACCAAGATCACTCACAAGCTAAAATAAGAGAATTATTGAAAACTGAGTAAAGTGTTCTGGAGACATTTCATGGACTCAGAGTATCAAAACACTGTCCAGATATACCTCTGACCATTACTTGATCCATCTGGAATTAAATGCATGTTGCCCATTTTCTATCCTGTAGGCTTATATTGAGAGAGGTGGAAGTCTGAAACCAATTGTAGCAGAATAAACTGAAATAGAACAGGGGCATTAAGCACTGTCACAAGCTTTTTGTGATTAAAACTGTAGATTTAGTAGTTAAATGGATGTATTCCTGATTGTCAAACAGCAAGAGCAACATACTCGTATATGAACATTGTAATTGCTAAAACTGTTTATTTCAAAATTTATACAACTAGAAATGTGCAGGTGCACTGTGTGATGTACTGGATTTGCGCTTTTAGAATCTTAAGGGCTGTTTTCATTTAAGGAAACCCCCAGAATGCATGTTTGTGCTTTTTTAAAAAAAAAAAAAAACAAAAAAAACAAACTTGCTTTCTAGCAGGCTTCTGTCCTATAAAGGAGCAATGTGAAAAAATTCTAGCACCAACACTGATGGAGAAATTATAGGTAGGCCAGTCAATTTTATTATAACAGCCTTCACAAAATACGAATCGTATCCAGACCCTCTTTGTTGTTGTTAATGTCATCAACTGACTTTTATGTCACTGACTTTATATAAGACTTTCTTTTCCCACTAGATGTGGGAATACCTTTACATTCTATGTCCTTGGAGATATATAGATATTTTGCCTTGTTCTTCCATCTCTTCTGTCCAGCTGCAGTTTAGCTGTTCACAGAATCACAGGATGATTGAAGTTGGAGGAGACCTCTGGAGATCATCTACTCCACGTCCTCTGCTCACACAGGGTCACCTAGAGGATGTTGTCCAGGATTGTGTCTAGATGAGTTGTGAATATCTCCAAGGAAGGAGACTCCACAGCCTCTTTGGGCAACCTGCTCCAGTGCTCAGTCACCCTCACAGTGTGAAGGAAAAAACGACTAAACAAAAATAAACATTTTTTTTTTCAGAGGGAATTTCCTATATTTCAGTTTGCCTATTAACTCTTGTCCTGTCACTGGGCACCACGGAGAAAGGTCTAGGAGTGTGGCTTTGTCTTTCCCCCTCCCTTCAGATGTTTATACACGTTAGTAAGATCCCCCTGAGCCTTTTCTTCCCTAGGCAAAACAATCCCGACTTCCTCGTATGAGAGATGCTTCAGTTCCTTAATAATCTTAGTGCCCCTTCACTGGATTCCCTCCAGTAGGTCCATGTCTCTCTTGTACTGTGGAGCCCAGCCCTGGACCTAGCACTCCAGATGTGGCCTCACCAGGGCTGAGTAGAGGGGAAGGATCACCTCCTTCTACCTGCTGGTGATACTGGTTATCCAAGGAGTAAATGAGCATTTTCCTTGGATAATGTTCTTAGTCAAGTTGATGTTTCCTTGAAGCAATGGATAGTTAGTTGATTGTGAGGAGAAAAAGGTTGGGAAAGAAGATTTCAAAAGCCCTTGCGTGTGTGTTCTGTCCCCTGAAGGGTATTACTGCTTTACTTATAGGTATCTGACAGTGTTCATGTAACTGCTAGAGTTAACAGCTATTTCTTCTGTGAGTGTCCTTGACCGCGTGCAACTTTCACATGTTTGTACCTCCAACTTCTGACCTTGTTCAAGAATTTTTTTGTAAAAAAAAAAAAAAAAAAACTATGCAGCTATTTTGCCAGAAGAACTCAGCAGGATTCTGTTCCCATTATCACAGCCATATCCTCCCTACAGCATGTGACCTCCATCAATGTAGGTGGATTCTTTCCCCACATGCTTGCAGCTAGATCCTGACCGCTTTGCAAAAGCCTCAGTTTATTCCCAACTGCTTTCAAGAAAGACCTTTTTGTGTGCATTCACAAATACATGTGCCCGTGTCTAGTATCTGTAATAAATACTGTGGCAGAGAAGTAGATGCCCGTGTCTAGTATCTGTAATAAATACTGTGGCAGAGAAGTAGATAGGCCCCTCTTTCAAAGGGCAAACTGTTCTCCAATAAATAAGGTTGGAGCGCTTTCTTTTTGTGTTCTGGCTGTTTTCTCACTGATGGAATAGTTTATATAGACAGTTTGGTGTCTGTCTCTTTGTGCGTTTCCTTTCAACACTAGCATTGCTGGAGAGAGCCTTCTGGTATAATCTGTAGGGAGCCTTGTAGTGCAGTGGGAAAATAAAAGGCTAAAAAATGATACTGCTGTGTGCTTTTTCCCTTTCTGAAACTAGTTATTCTAGGTCACTCCTTTTTCCTCTGAAAAATTAATTTTCTATCCTTCACTTTCTACAGTAAGTTTGTCAAAACAAGACCCTCCTCGTGGTTTACACAGTGATAATGATGGTTGTGCGGTGTCAGTTTTCCACCTTCTTAGTTCATTCATTAGGATTAAGATGTCTGTCTGTGTGGTAGTTTTTTCAAGGGAGGTATGTGTGGATTTCATCATGTAGAATCGGACATCTTGAGAATGACAGTGAGATGCTGAGACACCTGCTGATATCCTCTATTGCAATATGCTGCCTAATGTAGTGTGTAGATCTGATAATTTAGATGGAATCTTATTGTTGCTGGAAAGGAATATTTACTGCATGGCCTGTGACTCATGCAGTTTTGTCACTAAGGGATGTTGAAATGTAACGGTCCATTTCAACATCTATATGGAAACAGCTTGATGAGGCAGGCAAAGGCATTGTTGCACTAATGCCAGAGTAAATCTATATTGCTGCTAGAAGACTGTCTGATCATGTCTACTGTCTGGGGCAAGTTCTTACACCAAAGTAAATGGCTTTTTTCCTGTGATCCATAAAGTTTCTGATAGTACTGCTGAGTCATTTGGCCTACTTAAGATTTGCTTTTTGTCCTGTGAAGCCATGGTTCTGAGAGTTTGTGGCATTTCTAGGAATTTGTGTAACTGTGTCTGATATGGAAAAGTTTGGTATCTGACATTTGCAGCAAAAAAATTGCCGTTGGCCTGTTTTGATGCTTTTTGTGCAGAATGTACACTTGGGTCTCTTAATGCTGCAGGGTTTTGTATAACTTCCTAAAACTTGTTCACATCATTCAAAGCTACAAGATCATTCAAAACACGATTCAAAATTTAGATGCCCGTTAAATGTGTTAAAGCATGGATAAATAATTGAGTTTTATCTGTCTTGTACATCTTGTACGTCTGTGGTCACATTACTGAATGTGAAGTAGATCTGAAGTTGAAGAAAGTCAATACTGCAATTGCATCCTTCGATATTTCTGTGCATAAAATTACTTGCGCAGTAGTGGGTATTACAGTTCAAGAAAACACATGCCAGGTCTTGAACACAGCTAAATATGTTAATGCCACAACATTTTATTGGTCAGCGCTATTGTAGGCCTGACTTGGGCTGCTGCTATTGCCTCTTCTTAAAAACTGTCTCTTCTGCTTACAGCCCATGAACTTGTATCAAGACAGAGTTAAAATGCATTCAATACAAGATCAGAAAGTACATGCTTTTAGTCAAGATGGAAAAATGTGTTGTTTCTTTAGTTAATGTTCTTTCTTTGCCTTTAGGATCACTCGGGTACCTTGAAGAGTAGTCTTCTCCAGGTGGATCAGAACTGTGTTCGTAACTCTTACGATGTCTTCTCTTTGCTTAGGTAAGGTTTTTGAGAATATTCTATGTAGCTATTTTAACTACTTCTGTGTATGCGGAGGTAGCTTTTCCAAATACAAAATATTTCTAGACTGGGATTTGCAAGGAAGACGTTTAAGTAACGTCGATCTACTCCTGGTAGCAAGGAGATGGGACTTGGCCTCTCTTCCTTGATATGCTCTGGACTTCTGCCTCATGGATGCTTGAGCCACTCTAATGTAGAGCTGATTGTGGAGCTTACCCCATGGTTTAACTTGTGAGTGTTGAAACCGTGAAGCTTCGTTATTGGGGAAATTCTGTGGAAAGCCCCTACTCCATTCTCCTCAGCAGAATGAAAACTGGTTTAAATGCATGAGAACAGCAGCTGAAAAACGTTCCCCTGTCAAAACCTAACCTCCCTGAAAGTGATATTCTTACAGTGTCCGAGACTTTTTCATCTAAGACTTTTGTTGAACCGTTGAATTGAACTTAACCTTTTACGTAATCCTTCTTTGGAATCCAGAAAAGTCACCTTGCTTAGTCAGGACCCAGTTACTCCAGTGCCTCTGTGGTGTAAGAAAAACATTGCAATTGCACTTTTGGGAGGTTACTTAGCTCTCTGCCTGTTGGTTATGAAAAACATGAAATGCTAGTAATAAGGGAAGCAAGAAGACCTTTTCTAGAGCTTCTTTAGTTGTGATAGTTTGAGAATGTTAGCTGTGGGAAGTACCATGGAGGTTTTAAACACTGTCAGTGGGTTGGGTTTGAGGAATTTGTGTTAAATGCATTTTACAAGATGTCTTTAAGTTGCTAACTTCAGCTATGTAGTAATAACAGTAGACATGCTACAAAGAAAACTGTTGAAGGAAATGTTTAATATGCTTTCAAAAGTCATTGGAAGAACATGTTTATCAGTTGTTTAAAAAAGAAATGTAATCTAATTCATTTAGTAATCTTGACAGTAGGTGTCACTGTTGCCTGTACGAAGGGTTAGCCCTATGTTTTCTATGCTGAAGAAAGCAGAAAAGTTAACTCTAGGTCACTTATTCAGAAGCCATTATTTTATAAGCTCTCTTAAAGTTTAAATGCATTACTTCTTGATTCTGTGAAACATATTTAGAAGGCAGTCCTTACTTGAAATGTCTGTCGTCTTGCCTCTGGTGGAAAACAACCAGGAGGCATAATACGTGGCTCTGGCTACTTTCAGACACAGTCTGTTAGAAATTAACTTTTATACTACCTAAAACTTTTGCTTGGTACCATTTAACAAAGATTTTGTTTGCCAGTCATCCTGATTGCTTTGTTCATGCATCTTGTTTTTTTTTTTTTAATTTTTCAATTTCCTTTGCACTTCTTTGTAGCGTGACGTACATTCCAGAAAAATACTCACTGTTATACCAGCCGGTCATGAACTTGACCGACTGGAGCCCTGTGTAACCCTTTCTAATCTAAGCTGTGGCCCTTCTGAAAGTGTCTGACTGCCTATCATAAAGCTGACAAGAAATGAAGATGTCAGCTTTGATGAAGCTCCTCTTGCTGGATGCTCACCACTGCTGTTTTGAAATCTGATTACTGAAGCCATGCACTTTGCTCAGGCTTGGGAAGGTGAGAGTCCAGGCACCATCTCTTACAGTTTCTAGGTATGCTGTTGGACGGAGATCCTGTTTGGCACTGCCTCTGAGCTGAAACTTGCTGCTTTCTTTTGCTTTGTCCCAGAAGGGGCGAGTTTTTTCCAGTCTTCGGCACCAAGCCTGCTGCTGACTGTATTTGAGTTGACTTTACGTGCCCTATCAAGGAATATAGCTTTTGTGGGAACCAGACAATGCAGTATATAAGTTAGTTTCTGGCTACACCTATGTGTTTTTTCTTTGTTACCTGTTGCCATCCTAGCTGGAGGTGTTCTCTGGGAACTGAGGCAAGGTCCTCTATGTAGTCCTTTCTCTTCCCTTTTACGTCAACTCAACTTTGGACAGATAAACTTTCACTACCACTGCTTACTCTTGGTTTCTAGCTCAAAAGACTGGTGGTAGCTTTTATTTCTTTCTAATAATTCCTGATCTGTTTCTGGCAGGAGCTTTTTTTTCTTGTAACGAGCAGTCTGTGGGTTTGTCACCTCCTCCCGGAGTCCAGAATTGAGTAGCCTGTGGAATCTTCCCAGAGATATTTTTTGTGAGAAAGTTTGACTTATAACCAGAAGAGGGGCATAATTTGAGTTGTAATTCATTTGATAGGGCACTTAGACTGGGAGGAAATGAATTGCTGTCTGCCTGCTTCTGTCCATTGGCTATAAAGAGAATAGGGAAGTGTCTACACTGTAAAAGTTTGCATCTGGTCACATAAATCCCACATTTTGAGGACTCTTTCAGGATATGGTGTTTGTGTTTGCAGTAAAAATTCACAAGCTGCACATGTGGTTTCCTAATGTTATCACAGGAGATTATGAATATGAGGAACAGCTTGTACTGGTTTGATTTTAAATTTCTTGAAGGAAGCAAGTCTTGGTGATGGTGATATCGGCCTGAGTTACATTGGTGGTGCCATGCTGTGTAGCTACTGTGATTTGACTGTACAGCACAAGGATTTAGAGAGCAGGTTCTGTTTTAACTTTCACCTCCTGAAGCTGCAAAATGAGAATTTCTGTGATTGGCTTCAGTCAGCTGCCGAAACTGCTTTTTGGGGAAGGAAAATTATTCTTCCCTCTCCTTCTACCCCCCCCCTTTTTTCCCCCCCCCCCATGAAGTGAAAAGATAAAACTTGAAGCTTATGAAGAGGCCTTAATGAAAACCATGTGCTTGGCGGCATTTATGTTTATGAAAAAAATCAATTAGGAATGCTAGAGGGTGTGAACAGTAGAAAATTTTTTTTCAGGTGTTAGATTAAAATGGTGCATATGTGCTCAGATGCTTAATCACATGGTTTTACAAGTTAATTAAGTAAGAGGAAAAGTTTCAAGTACCCAGACAGCTTAGTTTTTCATAAAGAAGTTCTCAGCACCTTAACTTGTGAACCTTCTTGTTCTGGGGCAGAGGCAACATCCTCAGGCAAATATTGCACTGCTAATAAGTTGTTCATGCCATATGGAAATGACGAATGTTCTTACAGCCGTTTGTTTTAAAAAGGCTAGCTGACAAAAATTAACCAGCCCAACTGGAAAGCTAAATTTTTGAGGTTTTTCCCTCCCCTTGGCCATATGGTTATATTTCCTGAGAAGAGGTCACTTCAAGGCTTTCTATATATTATGTAGCTGGTAGTAATAGGTTGTACAGTAAAACATTTCACCTTTCACATAGCACACAGGATGGGCCAAATACATCTGAGGTCATGTTCTGGACATGTCTCCGTAATCAGGCTCTCAGCACGTTTGCAGCACTGATGGGAATAGGTTTATATTTAGTATTCTGTTAGTTTCCTATCCTTTCTTTTCTACAAAATTTGAAAAATAGACCTTTCAGTATTGAGTGATATTGTGAAGATGAGATATGCTGGCAATAAAGCCCATTATGTTAAAATTTTATATTTTTGTATTTAGGAACTGAAACAATATGCCTTGTATTGTACAATTGTTTTCTCATAATATTATAACACTTAAACCAATTGGGCCTCTGATATAGCATTTTCACCTCTAAATACATGAGTGCAGGAAGTCCTGCTAAAGTCTGCCTTGGAGACGAGCAGTATATAAGAGCTAATGAAACCTGGCTCTTTGCAGTTTTGCTTCCTACATTCTTCATCTCTCCAGTCACAATCTCTTTCTTTATGATTTAACCATTGCTTTAGCAGCTGTCATGGCATGTTTGTGCTATTTGATTAGCCAGCATAAACTGATAATGTTTTGGTTGTATTTTTGCTTAGATTTAAAAAAAAAAAAAAACTGATACAATTTCAGTACTGGAGATGCTAGCAAGAGAGTAACTCCAAGAAGTTATCATAATGTTACTAGTCCTACCTATTCTAGGTAAAGTTGATTTTTTAAAATAATACGGCTAGGTATTAAAGTGCTTCCACTGCTGCTACCACATGTGAATCTGATCCAGTAGAATAGTCTTGAAAACTAGAGCAGCTCCAGAGAACACACAGGGCATGCTTTTATTGAAGAAAACCAGTCCTTACAGTTCTAATGACAAGCAAATAAATATGATTTTAGTGTCCTGAACAGGTAAATGTGACTTTTGTAACCAGATGATGAAATTAAGCGACCAATTGTCCTTATATTTCACTTCATAGCAATGATGGCCTAGGTTGCGTTTTTGTGACTTTAAATGGCCTAAAATGGGCAAGAACAAGACACTGCTGTGAAGAGGACCAGGGCTGAATTTCTGAACTAGTGACTAATTATTGCCTTTTAGGTTAAGGGCTCAGAAAAACTTGTATGAGCCATGTTTTTCTTGAAATGAATCAATTGCACCTTTAACAATATTACAGAATCACAGGATAGCTGAGGTTGAAAAGGGCACCATATAAAATCACTGCTTTATTTAACTTTACTTATGCCAGGAAAGAACTTTGTAATGACTGTTTCCTGTACATTCAAATGCTTCCATCTTTAGGAGCAGTTTTAATTAACAAGTAGCAGCTTTATGTAAGTTAATCTCGGAAACTAATAATGAAGAGGAAAAACTAAGTGGTCAGTATAAGCATTCCCTCCCCCCCCCCAATTATTTATTGAAGTTGGTAGCTGTATTTCAGTCCTCAGCTAAAAAATGTCCTCTAGATGGAGAATAGAAGTGATAGATGTCAGTGATATGGAGAACAGAAAAGAGTGAGATGAGTGGTATGAGTGAGATGTCCAAATGGTCCTGTTACAGCTGAGGTTGTACTGATGCAATTTAACATAGCAATGCAAATAATGCAGTATGTCCTGCCTCTTGTTAAGGGAAATGAGATATTTTAAAATATGTGCTAACAGCTTTGGTTTCTAGCTTTTTCCTTTGCTGTCTGTTCCTCAGAGAAGGATCCCAAGTCACGTACCTGACCAAGACCTCGTTCAATGTTGTATTATGGATATTTATGTAGCCCTGTTCCTGC